GGATGTGGGCAGCTGCCGCTCAACCACAATCAACGTGGGCAGCCTTGTGCGTAAGAGGCACAGTAAAATGGGAGCTGCAAGAACAATGAAAGGGGTACCCCAAGGACAACTAAAAAACTGTCTAATTATAAAATTGCTTTAATATGTTGGATATCTCAAATGCTCTCGTTGTCTGCAATAGGACAAAGACTGCTTTGATTCTGAATCTATTCACCTGGGTGGAATTGGGGCTGTTGTGGGGAAAATCTAAAACACACACACACACACACACACACACACACACACACACACACAATCGCATGTGTGCGCAAGCCCTGCCTCCCAACCGAATTGCTGCTGCGGAACCTGCAACTATTAATCTGGAAGCTGCGGTTCCAGTGAAAACGCAGACAACATACTTGCTGCCAAAGTGACCGCCGTGGATGATCACTGAAACCCTACAGTTGCTGTTGCTGTCGCTGATTGTTTTCCGCCACTCACTGAAGAAGAACCGTGGTGCTATGATCGTGCTCAGCTCATAATGCAAGACAACTTTGAGAGACAATGCCATACGTCGCAGCTGAAGGAGAAGTGGATTTGGATCAGGAGAGAAGAAGAATGAACAAAGGAAGAAGCCTAGAAGAAGAAGAGGAAGGAGAAGACGAAGAAGAATGGACAAAGTATGAAGAATGAATGTCATCTCACTCTTCCTGTCTCCATCATTGCAAAGCCTCACATAATTGCCTCCTCTTCTTAACAAATAAATGCAATGATAAATGAGTGAATGAACAAGGATCAATGTTTGAATGATCCCCTGTACTCCCCGCAGCCAAAACTCTCTCTCTCTCTCTCTCTCTCTCTCTCTCTCTCTCTCTCTCTCTCTCTCTCTCTCTCTCTCTCTCTTGGTTGCACATCGGGCTATGACTGCTCATCCATGCTGAGCACGGATGGTCAAAGCACAACATGGTACGCCCATGCCTCTCCCATCTCCTTGTACTTATTAGCCACACTTCTGGATGATGTCCACGCCCAACGGGCACCCAGCAGGGGCCTTGTAGTTGAGCGCCAACTGAGGAAGTGGCGACGAATGTCCACCATAGCCAAATGCAAGAATCACTGTTGGTTCCCTCCTTCTTCCATCTGCAGGTCTTCTCTTCACTTGGCCCGGCGGAAACATCCAGGAGGCACATACTGTTGGCCCTTCTGGGAGTGTTATGAGTTTGAGACGGAACGTTGATGGAGAGCTAAGATCCCTCATCGAATCGCCATCCAAAACCACTAGGCGTAGACCAAGGACCAACGCTTATCGTTTGCGGCTGAAAATGTAGAAGTGTTTGGTGAACCAAAAATGGTTTTGCCTAAACAAATAAAAAGGATATGCAAAAATAAACTAGTTTGGTCAACTTTGGTGATGAAATTTATTGAATCCCAAAATTTCGGAACAGATTGACTTGATAAGTTGATATTGCAATCAAAACAAAAACGTTTGAGGTCGTTCTCCCTCTACCTCAATTGCCCAGGCCTTCGCCCTCCTCCTGCTTTCCTTCGTAGCCATGAAGGTCTTCTTCCTGACCCTCAAGTCGTCCTCCATCACCCAAGTGCTCTGCCTCACTCTCCCACAGGGTGGAGCTGCAGCGGGAGCATCAAACGTGAAGAGAGGTGAAAGTATATCACTCCGAGCAATGACAGTCCGGGCAACAACACGGCAGTCATTCTGCAGCTCCACCCTGTGGGAGAGTGAGGCAGTGCACCTGGGTGATGGAGGACGACTTGAGGGTCAGGAAGAAGACGTTCATGACTATGAAGGAAAGCAGGAAGGAGGGGAATGACTGCCGGGTTGTTGCCCGGACTGTCATTGCTCGGAGTGATATACTTTCACCTCTCTTCACCTTTGATGCTCACACTGCTGCCTCCCATTGTGTTTAAAGTTGCTGAACCACCTTCCCATCAAGAATCATTGTGCAGTTCCTTCAACAGTTCACACGACTAGCTTTCGCCTGTTGAACCCCCTTCACAGTCTTCACCCCCTCTCCCTGTGTATGCAAAAAAAGAGCACCTTGGAACCCTTGTCGACGCTTCCCCTCTCCCATCGGCTTCTTCAGCATGATGCTCTTACGACCCTCTGCAATGCTCCCTCTTCCCCCCGCCCACTTTAAGAGAACCTGGTGACATCTTATCCTTGCTTGTAAAGCATCTTGCAACCCGCTTGGCACTTGCCTGCTTTGCAGCCTTGCTTGCAAAAGCATTTTGCAATGCCCGGCGTTAACACACTCCCTCGTTTTATCACCCCTCTGTCCCCTCTATATGTAGAGCACTTCCTCTCCCACGTCCCTGTTCTCTTCTGCATGCCAAGCATCACGTGAACGCTGGCGACACTCTGCATGCCCCTGGCCTTCGCATGCATAGCATATTGGTATCCCCTTGGACACCGCCCCCCTCTGCCGCTTTCATCCCAAGCCTGTTGGCACCCCACTGCACACTCTCCCTCCCTCTCCATCCCAACTCCTCTTGGAACTCCCATCCCGTCCCCCGATCAGTACAATGGATCTTTCGACCTGCCTCGACACTCCCTCTCTTGACGTCTCGCGCGCTTTTGTACGTGAAGCGTCTTGTGACCTACCTCCCTGGACACTCACTCTCGCCTCTGCTGTTGTCAGTAAACGAAAGCAGGTTGTGATTGCTCTCGGCATGCGGCCGCATGCCCCCTTCACCACCGTGATGTGTGCGGAGCAAATTATTATCCCCCTTGACACTGATGAAGGATTTTGTGGCCGCCCATCTCTCGCCTTCCCCCACTTTTCAACCTTGCACCTGTAACATCAGAAACAAGCAAAACAGAAAAAGTCCAAAAAACAATGACAAAAAAAGAGCAGTTTTGCTGTGCCTTAAACTGCCTTCCCTTTCCCTCCTGCCTTGTTCTCGTGGTCTGCTCGGCTCACTCTTTCCTTCCCGGATACGTAAAGCTTTCTTTATTCTGGCGGCGCCTGCCCATTCCCACATCTTTGTGATGAGGATCTGGTACAGCTTCGCTCTCACACAAACACTATGGTGCTGCAAACCTACCCAATTGACTAGGAAGAGGCACGGGTTGGTGGGTGTTCCCTGGTGGTGTTCATATAGTGGAGAGATGAAGAGATGAGAAAATGAAGCAGTTGGAGATGAAAAAAGGGAAGAAAAGAAACTGCTCCCCCTAATCCTTGCACACGAACACCTTTTCTTTCTGTTTCCCTGTTTATGATATGTCATCTCCGAGGACATCCTTCACGGGAATTTTGAGAGGTGCAAGTCATTCTTTGATCCCCGCGGATCAGACACGTTTGTCCGCCCATCGAAGATCAGCAGCCCACCTGGGGGTCACAGTTCTGCGCATGCTTCTAGAGGTGCCCACAAACCTGCTAGTTCCTCCTTCTCGATTCGTCAGACAGATTCTTTACAGGAAGGAGGCAATCTCTGTTGCACGGTGTGGGCCACCTGCCTCCCAGACATACTATTCTCTTTGTAACTGACCCTCCCAAGAACGCAAATCTTTGTTGCACCCTGACTCCATCCTCTCTGAAAGCTAGGCCCAGACAGCAGCTTGCCCAATCAAAATCGTGTTTGCCCGCCCACCAAACCCAGTCCGAAAACTCGACAGGACAAGGTCGTACCTTCTTTCCCCCAAACAATGCCCAAGCGTCATGACTGTATTTGGACCGGAACTGTATATACGTTCATGATGACGGGGCATTATGTTCGGGCGAAAATGGTAGTGTGAGTATGCTCTCACTCACCCAGTGCTCTCAGGATCTCAGCACATTTGTAAACACTGGCTGCGGTTTGAGGGGGGTTATTGCAAGCTGTGGAGATCTAGGAATCATATCATATGTACAGTATATGTAAGATATATACCATTATATATTGCATCGGAACATCATATCTGACTTTGTTTGGTTTTGGGAATTGGGATATATATATATATAGGGTCAATTGTGCAGCTGGATTTTCTTCACCTATTTATGAGACAATGACTGCTTTGTCATTGATTGGATGGAGCCGTGTTTCAGATCCCTTGGCATCAGAATGATGAACAATTTGTGGCTTTGGGGGATAATTATATGGTCGATGGTGATGGATTTTGTCCACCTATTTATGAGACAACGACTGTTTTGTTATTGTCTCGATGGAGCTATGTTTCAGATCCCATGGCATCAGAATGATGAACTATTTGTGGCTTGGAGAGATGCAAAGACGGGCTACCCTTGGATAGATGCAGTCATGGTCCAGGTAAGGGTGTAAATCCTAACCACAGCGACTACCCTTCTTATAAGTATTTTTTTATGATCACATATTTATTAAACTGATCAGAACAGAATCGACAGATAATACAGTTGATCTTCGCCAAAAGGCCACTACCAGGAGGTATCTTATTTTATTGTATTTTGTTAGTTTTTTATGTACGTTTGGGATCATTTGTGTTTTGGCCCTCAAAGATGCGGTAGTTCTTGATTTGCCCCTCACATATGGGAAGTTCCTCAGGGACCATGCCGCTGTGCAATCTTTGGGGTAGGCCCCTGTTGGACCACTGCGCTACTTTGCGCCATGCCACTGGGTCTCCAATTTCCAACCGGGCCCACCAACTTGCAAGCACCATTTACCGGGCCATCCCACAAATTTGGACTGCCATCTGAAGAGCAATCGAGGAATTTCTCAACTCTGAAGGGCAAATCAGGAGATATTGCATCTGAGGGCCAAATCAGGTAAAATTACCGTAATACAGAATCTGAGGGGCAAATCCCTTATCTGACGACACAGCCACGGCCATCTCTTGGTCCACCGGCGAACAGGCACTCCGATATCTATAGGCATCATGGTCAACAAGGATGGCGTATGGCCAGGAATGGATCAGAATCAATTCACTAGGGCAATAATTCGCCTGCCCCCCTGCAAAAACGCACGGACATCGGTGATTGAACGAGCACTAATCATAAACACGACAATCTCTTCCACTTTATGGTACACGGCATCCATCTGGTCCCCCCCTGACGCCGACCTCAAGACTCTTAAGGCCAGGGCAAGATGGACCAGAGACCTCAACAGAACCACATGCATCAACAGGCTAGCCTGGAGTCACATCACCAGGAAACCACAGGATGGTGGCCTTGGCCTAATAGACCCCAAACGGGAGTCAATAGCACTGCAGATGAAATGAATTATCAAGATCCTGACCAGACAGTCCCTACCTACCATGGACCAAAATGGCCCTGGACAACGTAAGAAACCTAGCACCGATCAGCTCCCCCTCTAACATGAGAGGCCATTTCTCGATAATGGCAAGAGACTGGACAATCAAAACAGGCAGACCCCGCGGAAGGGCCCCTTCTCAGCCAGGCAACCAGGCCAATGCCAAGCAAACAGGGAGAACCAGAAAACAGAAGAGGCTTTGAGGCAACCCCTATTCAGCAACCCCTGGATCAAAGATCCAGATGGCGCACCCTGGTCACTACGCACGAAGAATGGGAGATGGCTATCCTGGGTGGAGAAAGGAGTGTGGCAGGTAAAACACCTATGGGCAGAAAAACACAGGGAGACCAGCTAACCGAACAAGAACTCCGATCCATATTAAAGGCTGCCACTCCCTCGCAAATAATCTATATCTCAAATTCAGCAGAGCAATGAGCATCCCAAAACAGTGGCTCCCTCTACTAAGAGATGCTTTCTCATGGAGATTGTGAGACTGGGGTATGCTCATACCCCAAACCCTGCGCAACAGAGCATACCGATTCGTCTCCCGCACCACTGGATTCAACCACCTCCCCAAATTCTTCTCTTACCCTATCGCTAACCACAACCTCCAGGAGATGGTAATCTTTAACAGGAACCCCAGTGCGAGATGGTCGAATCATTCCTACTGAAAAAAGTGAGGGTTTCAAAGGCCAAACCTTGGAAAATCTTCCAACCCGACCTCAGCATTGCAGAGCTTGAATTCGATCCAAAGGAGTGGATCTGGAAGCAGGGTAAGTCCACACAAACGAGAATGATATTCGAATACGACGTAAAATTTGGGTACGACTTAGGATTGCAGACCACAGACCCGGACCCCAAACAAAAAGAAACATGGAGAGAGGCCCTGAACCTAGAGCTGACGGACCCCTTCTCCATCCCTTGGGCAAAATACTTACCCATCCGACCAGTTAGAATCCGAAGCATGCAGTGGCTAATAGCCTACCTTCTTCCCCCAAATACAACGTACGGTCATTATAGCTGTGTCTAGACTGAAAGATGCCTCAAATACAGCTATAGTTACCGTACGTTGTATTCGGGGAAGAAGTTAGCCAGCCCTTCTGGTCAACCAGTGGCTCCACAAGAGGAGAAAACACACAGACCCTAACGGCACAGAACTATGCGATCTGTGCAATGACAACACACGCCAGAAGACATTCCCCACTGCCTCCTATACTGCACTTGTGCGCTGAAGCAGCCTGGATATGGAACAAAGTCCGAGACCTATGGTCCCTCCTCTTCTCATCACCGCCGCCGCCGCCACTCCCCAGAATATTTTACTCCTATTCCCAACAGTCGCAAAGGTGCCAAGGAGATCTGGTTCCACCTACTCAGAAAACTGGCCCTGTGGGTCATCTGGAAAAGGAGATGAGCCAAGACAATCGAAGGATGAGAAGTGTAAACTGGGAAGTCTCCCTCCAGCGCTCCTATGACAGTACCCACCTGGGTCGATACCCGATCTCTATAACAACCTGGGCTTTATCAAAAAAAAAAAAAAAAAAAAAAAGGCAAGGGAAGAAATGTGGATCCTACTGCTGAGGATGGTGGAAACAGAGATTCGATGCAAATGGAGGGGGTTGACGACAGCTACGAAAGGCAGACCGGAAAAGACGGATCTTCATGAGAGACTGGCTACTTCAGGGAAAGATAGCGACAGTGACAGACAACAAACTGACCTGGAGGAATTGGTTTGCTCCAACACCGACATGGAACGTGTCTCCATGAAGGGCAAATTGAGACTACAATCTCAAGAAGGTAGGCGAATCCCCCAGTTTCCTTGCTCTACGCGACAGATTTGACAGACCTAGAAAGGTTCTGAGAGGAAAACTAGGGTAGGGCAAGCTGACAGTCAATCCTCCTAATCAGGAGCAATCAATTCTTGTAAAGGTTCCTTCGGCCAGACGGAAGGAAGTGTGAGGGTGTTCACCATGCATTCCAATTTTTTACTTGCCTGTGGAAAGGAACGGGACTGACGCTCCCCAGAATGGAAATGGAGCCAGGACCATAAGGACCTGTGTTCTAGAAAGATTCCCACGCCCGGCCGGCACCCTTTTTTTCCGGTTTTCTAAGCTCTCCCAGAGGACCCCAACTCCGGGCTCATTTCTTTTTTTGCGAGTTGGCTGTCAAGGGAGGGGAGGGTGGAGGGAGGGGGGGGGGGGKATAAATTGGTTTTAAAGGGGCTAAACTTCCGCAAAAGGGGTTCAAAGGGGGATGCCTTCGTGTGATTCGGCTATTTTCTTTTTTATCTCCGATTTTGTGAGGAATTATAATGTGACCCTTATCCAAAAGTCGTTTGTATTTCAATTCTACACAACATATTTTTTCCCCGTATCTCTTCTCTCTCTCTGCCTACGGTTTACCGGGCAGTTCTATTTGTGACGATATATCGTCAAATAGAACTGCCCGGTAAACCGTAGGCAGAGAGGGAGAAGAGGACAGACAACAAACGAGGGGCTGTGACAAACTGTTTCGTCGGAGTTTCACCGACTCGTCAGGAGGCTGAACCCTCAACAGTCTGTAGAATCCCCTCACTGATTACACTGTAAGTGATAATCCACCTTAGCCAAAATCAAAGTAGACTATCACTCACCCACACCAGATGGAAAACTCTACAGACTGTCGGATATATATATATATATATCTGTTTGTGACGATATATATATATATCGGTGAAACTCCGACGAAACAGTTTGTCACAGCCCCTCGTTTGTTGTCCTCTTCTCCCTCTCTACCTACGGTTTACCGGGCAGTTCTATTTGATGAGTCGGTGAAACTCCGACGAAACAGTTTGTCACAGCCCCTCGTTTGTTGTCCTCTTCTC